TTAATGGGAAAATCTATGGTTTCCTGTAGATTTTCCCTTAAACCAATCCATTGAATGTAACATCCAAACCAGTCAAATGAGTCTATGATTTTTAAAAAAATATATCACATGTTATGATTCTCCAAGTAAATGTCTATGCTTCGATGTCGTGTTTTTTTGCCACCAGGAACCTTGCTTGGGAATCTATACCAATTCCCAAACCTGATGGTTCCCCCTTTATGGCAACACAAAAAAGAATCAGAATCAAAAGTAAACGCGTACTAAATATATAATATGTAATATAATATGGTATATATAATATAATATAGTGTATATATAATATATGAGAATATATATACCTCAAATATCTTATATATATATATCATATATGTATATATAAATAAAAATATAAATTGTAAATGTTATTATTCGAATTATGAAGTACATTCGCATTCTTTCGGTGTCAAGTTGATGTCTCCCCCTCTCCTCCATCAGGCAGGTCGCAAGAGCCATTCCTTGATCTTCCTGGGAAGGGGACCGGGTGGGAGGTCACCGGAAAATCCTTAAGATCCTTGCGGTCAAACATGGGGAAATCATCTCTAGCCACGGAGGATTAGTTTATTCGGGAAAAATCAACGAACTTTTTTTGTGGGAAATTGTCCATTGCCATGTTCGATCTTCAACAAGTTGAGTGCCTTTCACTTCAGATCCGACCGCGTTTTGTCTGAAAATTACGGGAGAAAAAAAAACACGCAAATTTGTTCTTTAATGGCAAAAAAACTTGGGGATTGACCTATATATATATATGTATATATATATACAGTATATATTATAGTTAGTTAGCCTAGGGCAATCCCGTCTTTTTACAGACCGCACCCCCTACAATACAATAGATTTTAAAGCGGTCAAAACAAAAAGATGGGATTGCTTTACCTTATAGATAATAACATAATCAACAACAAAATCATAACAAACAAATAAAACGAAAAAAACAAAACAACATAAGCAATACAATAGATTATAAAATAGACTATACCAAAAACCATAACAACAAACCAAAACAAAAGACAATTTCACTTTTATAAAAAGAAATTTAACTATCATTCTTCTTCAAATTCTCCTCATGCTTCAAAGTGTTTGTGTGCCTCTTGTAATTTTGAGTTTGAATTTCATAATCATCACTTCAAATTTATGGGGATAACCAACATAATTTTCATAATCATTTGCTATGAAGATTAAGGGATTAATTACCACAGTCTCCCCCTATAGGGGAAGCCTCAGCCCCCAGCCAATATCTTTCTCAACATATCTCTTTAAATTACCGCAATTACCATGCCCAAACCGCCCTTCATGAACTTGTTGATAACCATGTCTTCTTAACCTCAGTGCGATGTAAATGGCACAGCGATCCAAACTTTTGGGGCGAAATGGAGTGAAAAAGATTTGTGTGGTGTGCGTCCCAGACTTGTTGGTGCCAGTCTTCTCAAGTTTTTGGAAGGGTTTGTCTTTGTATCAGGCATGAATGCACTGAATGTCAAGCTTGCGAAGGCTCACTGGCATGAATGCTCTATTGAAGCAATGTCCTATTCCTACTTGACACCCTGAAACCCTGCTACCTACAGACCTTGTCAATCATAAAAGCATCTGCTAAGAGCACTATTTTGCAAAGTCGCCCTGTTGGCGAAGCAAGCACGTGCTTTGTAAGTCGCCCTGTTGGCGAAGCAAGCACTGCTTTGTAAGTCGCCCTGTTGTTGGCGAAGCAAAGAACTGTTTTGCAAGTCATCATGCGGCGTGCTCGATCTCGCCCACTCATGGGTAAGTGGGGGCGTCCCTGCTCTTCTCAGTCTCCTTGCCGAGGTTCTCCGATCGAGGGAGGAAGGGCGCTCCACTCTTCTCAGTCTCAATTGGGAGGCCGCGGAAAATGATGATGCCGCCCTTCTCAGTCTCCTCGAGGTTCTCCGACCGAGGGAGGAAGGGCGCTCCACTCTTCTCAGTCTCAATCGGGAGGCCGCGGAAAATGATGATGCCGCGCTTCTCAGTCTCCTCGAGGTTCTCCGACCGAGGGAGGAAGGGCGCTCCACTCTTCTCAGTCTCAATTGGGAGGCCGCGGGGGATGATGAAGCCGCTCTTCTCAGTCTCCTCGAGGTTCTCCGACCGAGGGAGGAAGGGCGCTCCACTCTTCTCAGTCTCAATCGGGAGGCCGCGGCCGATGATGATGCCGCCCTTCTCAGTCTCCTCGAGGTTCTCCGACCGAGGGAGGAAGGGCACTCCACTCTTCTCAGTCTCAGTTGGGAGGCCGCGGGGGATGATGATGCCGCCCTTCTCAGTCTCCTCGAGGTTCTCCGACCGAGGGAGGAAGGGCACTCCACTCTTCTCAGTCTCAATCGGGAGGCCGCGGCCGATGATGATGCCGCCCTTCTCAGTCTCCTTGCCGGAGTTCGATCTCCTCTGCCATGACGTTGTCGCAGCTCACGCACAATGCAAGGATGAGGCAAGCGAATACACCGGATTTGAGCGCCATGGCAATGCCGACACCCCTGAGCTAAAAAGCGTCCCTGAGTGGCTTGAGGAAAAACTCGCAAAAACAGCTACGGAAGAACATAAAGATGCTGAAAAATGACACAAGAATCCAAACTCAAACTGAAAGAGCTAATTTCTGTAGCTTTCCATTTGAGAATGTCAAAGGTGCTCAAATTGAAACAAATTCCAAGGTCAAGCTCTCCAATTGGCTTAAGAACATGTGGCAAATTCACAATTTCAAACCTCCAACTGGCATATTCCCAACAGCTGAGCGCCCCGACAACAGGATAAAGAAGAGATTGATGACGAAACCATGGCGGGGCAGAAGGACAAAGGAACATAGAGTAATCCCAGCCAATGACCCAGTCAAACACAAATTCGTGGGGAGAAACAAATGAAGGGCAAAACAAAACCACGAAACCAAAGGAGCACATCAAATCAACCATATCATGGTTGCATCATGGCTTTCTAAAAACACTAAATCTTTAAAAGTTCATGCCTCATCAACAATCTTGGGTAATCAGTTAATTTGTAATATTTTTGGTTCAACTTTTCTGCAACCTCTTGCACAACATAATAACCTTTCAGCCAGTGGGAAGTTCTTTCTTTTTCAGTAATCATTTTTTTTCTCATAATCTTTACCTTATCACCGACAAATAATTCTGGATAGTTTTTTTCCTTCTTTGCCTTTGATGCTACATTAATCATTGCCCTAAATTCATTTTTCTCTTTCCTTGCTTGATTAGGTGTCATACCTGTAGCGGAATGCTTCATTTTATCATTGTATGTAAGCATTATTTCTAAATTGTAGTCTGTCCATTTGATATGTTCTCTTCCTTTCTTTTCATCTGCTTCAACTCTTTTAAAAAGCATATCTTTGTAGGTGCGTATAAATCTTTCAGCAAAAGCAGGATGACCCCTTGTCCTATACAACTCAATATTCTCACCTTCAATATAGTCTTTAAAATCACCTCCTGCTATTGCTTTTTCATCATCACTGTATATGATTTTTGGTTTCTTTCCCATTCTTTTTAATGCCTCTTTAGTTGCCTCAATAACATCAGGTTCATTCTTGCTTACAATTGGAATTGCTACGGCATACTTGCTTAAAACATCAATACAAACCAATCCTCCTCTATATTTTTGTTCTTCATCAAAATCAAAATACCCCATAAAAAAACAAATCAATTTGATAAGTATGATTGTTATGAGGTGCTACAAAGGAATTATGCCCTCTTGGCTTTGCTTTTATCTCAACATTTTTCCTAAAGAATTGTTCAACATCCTCTTTCTTGATTGTAGGTTCTTTCTTTTTAGCATCTTCTAATGTGGTCTTTCTTGAACCATAGCCACTTCTATCAAAATAAATATCACGAATAATTTGTTGTTTCTTACTTTCACTCATTATAGAATAGATGATATAATAAATATTAAAATTATATCATTTATTCTTCATTTTGTTTGTTTAACCAGTCTTGGTGTTTCTTTGTTCTAAAATGCTGTGCTTTGTATCCGTATGAAATGATACAACCACAATCACAGGTAATCTTTTTAGATTTTCTCTCATCGATTTTGTCAGCATTATTCTTTTGATATTCTTTTTGTTGTTCTTGGTAGTATGTTTTTTTGCTATGATAATTACTGCGTTTGATTTCACACAAATGTTCTCGCTTGTTGTCATTGTATTCTTTGATGCGCCCATTTTTATTGTTTTGGTAATAGTTTTTGCTTTTTTCTTTATAGGGTTCAGGATTGTCATTGTATCTCTCTTTTGCTGACCTTCCTGATATGTTTTTGTTGATACAGTCATTGTTCTTAATGTAATAACCTTCTCTTTTGTGAAGTTCGGCAATGCTTGAACATACATAGTTCTCTACTAATTCAATCTTACAGTTTTCAATTCCAAATCTATCAAACATATCAAATAAAGATGTGTATTTTCTCTTGTTTCCATTGAGATAGTGTTGGTAAGGTTTTTTATGTCCTTTAAATCTGTTTGGTAATGTATCTATTGTTGAACCGAAGTAGCATTGCTCATAAGCAATATCAACAACTTGGTAAATTTTGCCATTTTGGTAGTTTTTGGTTTTTACCATACTAAACACTATTATACATAAATAAACAGTCTTTAACACCATTTTCACAATGATATTTTATTTGAAAAAGCACAATTACAAGACACACAATATCCAACCACATTATCCTTGAAGTGGCTAATATCATTATTAACTCTTTGACAGGTTATATTTGATGAAATCCTGCCATCTTCAAAATCTATCACAAACGGTTCATTACAATTCTCACACTGGGTATTCATCAGGTTCATCAAAAAATCTACATCCACATAATCATTTCCTTCTACATCTCTACCTGCTTTCTTGTCTTGCTCAATGTAATTTAAAACCTTTCTCTCAAAATACTGCTCTACTATCCTTTTAGATTTACTTTCTTCACCTTCATTATATTTGAAAAACTTGATTTTGTTAAACTCTGTCGCCCTTGTAAGGGCGGTGAAAAACCAATTCTTACTAACATACCATCCATTCCAATCATATATCACTATATCACCATCAACACTACAGCCCTGCTTTGAATGAGCGGTGTAGCAGTAAGCATATATAAAATGCTTTCTCAATAATTTCAGTTCTATATTTTGCTTCTCACCAGTTGCCACATTTTGTAAAACAACAATATCACCAACAATATTTGCAATCCTAAATCTGAAATTCACATTAAATTTCTTACCGCCTTTAGTCTTAATATATTTTCTACATATCACCTCCTCATTTATCACATATTCTTCAGTTATATTTGTCATTTCTCTGATTTTGCTTGAAACCATTTTACAGGTGTTGTTTGTATAAGCAATGTTATTATCATACATTTCTATCTTGTCAGTCCATTTGAAATATGCATCAATGATTTCTCTAAAAGGTGTGCCTTCAAAAATCAACCTTTTAACATCTCTTAACTTTTGCCTATCTTCTTCAGTCTTCAACCTCTTACATTCATAAAGCATAATATTATTTTTGAAAATCAAATTAATACAATGGTCAGCATATTTTTCAAAAGCAATTACATTACTTACACTCTCAGGATTTTTTCAATTGCTTTGTATCACCAGTTGCTAATACAATCTTATCAGGGTTTTTCTTCTCAAAGTCCCATATCAAAGCCCACTTGCCTACATTATGAAAATATATCTCATCAAACACTATAACATCATAACCTGAATAATCAAACTTGTTTAGTCTTTCATCTCCAAATGAAATACCAAAAAACTTATTTATGGTAGTCCATTCACAATCACATTGTTGCCCTAACTCATTGCTATGAACAACAAATAGAACCCTGTAATTTCTTGTTTTTAGATGCTTACATATATAACTCTTACCTGTTCCTGCTACTTCCCCTCTTATCATCAACCTCTTATTATTCAAAATATGCTCATCTATGATTTTATCAGTATTCCATTCATCCTTCACTTCACCAGTCATATTTTGATATTCAGTAATATCACACAAAATACTAAGTTGCTTACAAAATGCCTTGCTGGGAAAATTGAATTTATCAGACCACCTCCATTCACCAATCTCACTACCAAACTTCAACACCTCCTTTGCCTTACCCAGATTACATTTGTCAATAACAAAGGCATCGGTCTTTACAGAATAGACTGCAACATCATTATCTTTCAATTTTGTGTATGTTTCGTTCATATCAAAACTATGATGTTGTAAAATCAGTTCTTTGATAAACCTATATCCATTCAGTAAAGTTTTTGTATCGGAAATGTTCAGCACATAGTGCTTACACTCATCCACTATTTTAGCACATTCTTTCTCATCACTTTCAGGTTCAATGGCATTGCCTTTATCATCAAATTCAAGCAAACAATCATCATCATTATCATTCACTTCACCATCCCATTTAGTTTCAGTAATGATACTTATATCACCACCGTATTTTTCTTGATAGTAAAAGGCATCAACCATTTTTGAAAACACTATGGACTTTTTAGCCTTGTTAGTTTGTTTTTCCAATAAGCCAATGTTGATACAAGCAATCATTTTTTTCTTCAACTTATCTTTCTCTTCATCCTCATCCAGTTTCAATTTCCAAAGTTCATCAACTATTTTTTTGTAATTAACTTTGTATGTATTAGATGGAATTTTGTAATAAATGACTTCAACATCATCAGCATATTTTTTCAAAAACTTACCATATATCAAGTTATAAGTCCTATTGAAAAATAGATTTCTCACTTTGCTTTTAACAAAATATATATAATGTTAAAGCATTCATCTTGTTAAAATCATTTTTGTTATAATCATACTTCAACCAAATATCAAATTCTGAAAAGACAGGCACTTCAACAATGTCAATGGTGGATTTTGTATAAGCCTTTCTTCTATCTAATTCAATGTGTGTATCCTTTCCTTCAATGATGCTTTCAAAATATCCACTGGGAGCTATGCTATGAGCCATTGAAAATATCTTCAAGTCATCATTGTTATAATATGACTTGTGATTAGGATTGAACATACCCTTATTGAAGTTAAAAAATGCCTCATTCACTTTATTAAACATATCAGCACCGTTGCTACGGATACAAGTATCCACAGCACAGTCTATCAATGTTTGACTTCTGATGTTCAAAATCAACCCATTAAGCTTTACCTTGAGTGATGCTACATTGCCACCTGCTCCCATTATGATTTTAGGCTCATACTTTGCCCTCTTGAACTCACAAAAAATTGTATTCAAACTCTTGCCACTCACTAAATTTACTTCTCCTTCTTCATCTTCATTCTCTTTAACTATACCCATTATGTCATCAATGCCATTGAAAAAATCATACTTAACTGGTTTCTCCTTGCTATTTAAACGAAAGTCAGTAGAAGCACTTATCTTCATATCTTTTTCAAAATCCCTTTGTGCTATGCTGTTGATGTTGTCATTCATTGTGTAAATGTGGTTGCCCTTAATCAATCCAAACAA